TTGCTGTATCCATAGATAAGAGCATCTCTCAGCTGTCACCAGAGAAGCTTTTTCATGCAGTAAATGGCAACTAACACAGATATTCCCAACTGGGTCATGTGCATAGAATAAAAGACTGTGGAGTTCTCAGTCCTAAACGGGACATACCTATTATACTCCTTCCTACAGGGCTCAGGAATCTTCAAGGAAGAAGTAAAAAGATCATTAGTGTCAAGGGTTGTTGGTAACATCAGGGATATAGTATCTTCCAGACACTATAGGCCATTTGCACATATAAATTCAAATTGATTATGATAACATGCAAATGACCTGTGTAAAATCCAGTCAGAAAATACCCAGCATATGGGGAATACAATGAGTCCAAAATTCTATACTAGCTGATAAGCTGTTATCATTAGAAGGCTCTTGGGGGCGGATGAGTTAGCTATCTTTAATGAGCAATCCACGATAGGCTAAACAGATACAAGGGTGGGATTCGCTGCCCTGATAAGCTGAGCAACTAAAAATGAACTCAATGGGGAAAAGGTGCAAAAAAAAAGTTAAGTCTCAAAGTTTCATGGAAAGGTCTGAGAGGGTATAGAGGGATGTTATGGGAGGACTTTGAGAAGGGGATGAACATGCTCATTATACAAAATTCTATAATTATATAAAATTCTCAAAGAATTAATAAAAGTGTTGTTAAGAATAAATTAGCAAAGATGCTAAGCAGATATGACTGTTTTTTACAGAAGATCCCCCTGTTTGGGATATTACCACAAGTATTTGTTTCATACACTGTTGTCTCAAGACAGATTCACAAAACATTAGAAAACAAAGAATTATTATTAATATGTAAGTATAAAAGAGAAAGAAATTAGTTATATGATGATGAATTATTTAAAACTAAGGTGCTATCCCTGGTTCAAATAGCTATGCATATAATATGAAGTCACTTTTGAGAAGTGAAAATTTGATACCATGTGTTGCTTAATTGCCTCCTTCAAACAGAACATCCCCTCTCTAAGTGGAGTTCATGGGACTCTGGAAAGTGATTATGTACAAGTCTCAGGAAGCACCTGAAATTTACAGGCTTTACAAGGCTGGTCCGCACAGTTGTCTAAGTAGTGAGTGGTTGCTTAGAGACAGGAGATGCTCTGGTAGAACTGCTTACAGGTTGGATAGGGTGCTCTGGGGTTTAGTTTTCATGCTGAGGTAGGCTTCTCAGTGTCACTGTAGGATCTGAGACATCAGATCTTTTATAGACAACTCTAAACCACTCAATGATTCATCAACATAGATTTGGATAGAATGGCTTCTTGGTTTGTCATTAGTTTCCTATCCGGGGTGAATGGATGTTTCTTCTTCATCGTTCTCCAAGCAGTTACCCAACAGCATCTAATTCCTATGATGAAGTCTATTAATATAAACACAATCTTCTGATGCTGTATTTGAAATGGGTAATGTTCACTAGAATTTATAAACCTTACTAGGCAACTCTAGTTTATTGTCGTGTTCTTTTGAATATGTACTTCCAAATCTTTGCATGCAAAAATGATGATTAAAAGATGTGTTCTATTCACTTATTGATAAAATTCACACAGGTTGTGATGATTTGTTATAGCAGCCCAAAGAGACTAAAGGTGGTTTTGGTGTGTGTATGTCTGTGCTTAAATTTTTCCAATTCATATCCATGAATTGACCTTGTTTCTATATAGGAACACATTCTAGGGACTGCAGATTAAGAAATTAACCAATAATATAGTCCCTGTGTTTAAAATTTGTTTTAAGCCGGGCAATGGTGGCGCACACCTTTAACCCCAGCACTCGGGAGGCAGAGGCAGGCGGATGGATCTCTGTGAGTTCGAGACCAGCCTGGTCTACAGAGCTAGTTCCAGGACAGGCTCCAAAGCCACAGAGAAACCCTGTCGCGAAAAGCCAAAAAAATAAAATAAAATAAAATTTGTTTTACTTTACCATTAGTACTGAGTTAAAACTCAATTATGTAGATGATTAAAAACCATTATTTTAATAAGGTAAATAAATTAACAATAAGGAAAAATAAAAAAATAATTCAAGTTTATTATCCTAATTGCCACTAATAATTTCTACTTACAGCAATATAGAGTTACTGCTATTCATTGGAAGAAAGTGGGGTAGATTATTGGTTCCAATAAAAACCATCATTTTCTTGAGAGTCTTATAAGAAAAAACATGGTAGGAGGTTATTTAATATTATGTTGCATTAAAACAGGAGAAAAGTAGAAAGATAAATGAACTATTCCTGTAGAAATGAACTATTCTTATGGAAATAGGAGAGCTTAACAATTTTCTAAGTGAAGTAGGGGGTGAAACGTAGAGATTTTTCTGGATGAGATAAGGAGGAAGGACTGCAGACATCAGTCTGAATCTATCCTTTAGTTCCATTTGATTTCTACATGAGCATAAGCTTGAGAAATGAAAGGCATTTTGCATCCAGAACCCAATATCTGGAAAAGTCGGTGAGATAACCGTTTCCTTAAGATCCAGTGTGATCATCCTGCAGTGTTTGTCATTGGAAAACTTCATAATAATACATAGAGTTCTCATAGACGTTGACCTGGATACCATTAATGTCTGAACATATTGATTTGTGTCACACACAAAAAAGTATTTGTTAAGGATTCGGGTTTAAATACTATATGTTAAAATATTTTAATGTTGAATTGAATTAATAATTGACCCCTAACCCTAAGGCTTCCCATAACCATAAAACACGGTCCTTTCAAAATGTATAATACCTCATGGAAAACTGGTTTTAATTTACTTCTCCTTGAAAGACCTCTTTGAGGGTATTTGCATTGTCAGCAGCTTAAATTGACCACAGAAATGATAACTAAATAATTTAGAAAATTGTAAGATGATTTAGGCATTTAAGATGTGTATAAGGTAATTAAAACCAAACCTTAGGAGGGTTAAGGCCACACTGCAGTTGGTTATTCTGCAGCTGGGGTCATTGCCTACATTGTATAAAGGCATATGTTCAATTTACAGTTGTAATGAGGAACATGGGGTGTTTTGATTCTTCATTTGCTGTGCTCATCTCTAGAGGATGCAATTGCCTGCATTAAAAAAAATGCACATAGGCTCTTTTGTGGAGGGCAATAAAGTGTCAAATAATACATGTCACATGCATGTACCGTTGGCATATGGCTTTTTTCAGAGTTTGGAATTGTTGCCTTTAGCTGCTATCATGATGGAGACTCATGGAAATGTTCGTTATTATCCACTTAGAAATAAGACCAGCTTCTTTGATCCTGCTAGTTTGATCATGATTATTCCATTTTAACTAATGCATGGTGTTTATAAATGTGTTTCAGTAGATTGTTTACTTACAATCTGTTTTCCCCTAATCTACAAAAGGAAAGAGGAATGCAGGTTGTAAAGTTTTCCTTTGTCTCCTGTTGAGTGTATACATGAAACATTAAAAGATGCAACATTTTTTACATTTTTATTCTACAATGAAAACAATAAACGATATTGGGTATTCAACTCTTTTTTGTGCGCTGATTTCTCAAAAACATTTGCACATGTTCACGGGAGACATTTAAATAAGTGTCTCCAGCATCATTAGGATACAAGTTGGAGAATCAGCTTCTTTTCACTGTAAACCTGTAAGTCACTCCACTGATCACCCTGTAAGGTGTGCAAAACTACAGATAGCCTGGCTGTGGTCAGGACCTTTACGTCTTTCTCCTTTGGAAAAACAAATGGCAAATGATTGGAATTGATTAAAAATATAGCTTATTTTAAACACCCTTAACTTTGTACCTGCCTACCACTGAATTTGGTTACTTTTTCTTATTGTCCTTCCTCTTTTCCTCTTCAGTTTTGTGGCTAATTTTTCATGCTTGCCTCTGAACCTCAAACAACTCTGTCCTTTCTCTTTGTGGTCACATGAATGAAGATTGCTCCTTCACAGCGCCTCAATTCCTTGACATGCTAGTCCCCTGCACCTGAAGTGGATTGATAATTTCCCAAAACAGAGTGGTCAGAGTCATGCCTAGGCTGTTTCTATTTTTTGTCTTAAGAAGAGAAAATCTGGGGTTTTGGAGTTGGAAAGAAACAATTTGGAAGCAAGCCTCCGTAGCTAACTACCGCCAATCAGTTGAGAGAGGCTGAAGGAGGCGAACAAGTGAATAGAGCTTCATTTCCCAGTTCTGGAAGAGTTCTGATGTTGTCCCCAGCACCCTTCCAAGATAAATCGTTTTCATACCTTAGTTTGAACTGCAGAGATGTCATCTGTCGACGTAGACAGAGCTCTTGACACAGGATTTCTTTACATCCATGTGTGTTGTTTTAAAGTGCAGACCATTATCTCTTAAATAGTCTAACTTCCTGTACATATATCTTTATTTAAACAAACTTAGGGCTAGCAACTTCCTGATATGAAACATGTCGTTTACATTATTGACTACTCAAACCAAGAATTAGCAGCATTCTAAGCTTAGAAGTGTGCCACACAAAACTACTGCTCCAAACTGGAAATATGTCTACAAACTCACTTGGACCCTGGAATCAACTTGCATTATTATGTTTTTTTTTTTTATTCCTGCCTACTTTTCAAATCAAATGCATTGGTCTATTCTATCCCCTGGAAGTCTGATTTTGCAGCTCCTGGCTTTCCTCCAAAAGCCTTTCATTGCTGCACAAGCCATCCTGGTTTTCAATTCATCCTTCTTTATCCACTGTGTAAACTCGGTGGACCTGAATGGTTAGGAAAACTGAAAGCATTTGGTTGTTATTAGGGTAAGGATAGCCGGCTCACACATGTAAAACATTAAAGAAACCTTACAAATGTTTGAGTAATTTTTTTTTCTGTTGTTGTTGTTTGGAGCTGTGGGGCATTTAACCACATCCTGCCATGCACACAAGCCCGGAGATTCTCTCATTACCAGGTAGAGTGGAGGTTAATAAAAAGAAAAAAACCAAAAATCAAAACAAAACAAAAAAAACCAAGGACAGTATTTTTATTTTCTTTTCCCAGCATTTTATTGCCTTTATTTAAATGTAACATAATATACACTGTTCAGCCTTTTGGGGGGTGGGTAGAAGGAAGGAGTGATTCTCTATCAAGGAACCTTAGTGCCAGCACTGGCAGCTCACATGGCCTTGTGTCTGTGACTGACACCCTCTAAAGTGGTGGACCAGTGCCCACACTTCCCACGGAGGCACAGCTCCTAAAATTGTGATACTTTTTTTTTCTTTAACACACAACATTCAGGACTGAACTTCTTTTCTTTCAGTAGTTGTAAAAGGGACTACTATTATCAAACAAAGACCCAATATATTTTTTTTAATGCGGAAAAATCTTCACTCCTTATTGAATTGTTTCTGTATTTAACTCTGTTAACTTGTATACAGAGAATGGTGTAGCGTGGGGAAGGGGGAAAGATGTTTTCTATTTTTGGACTCTGCAAGCTTTGATACATTTTGCTAGAAGCTGTTTAATGTCTTGAGTACTATAATGATGACTGTTTACACGTAGTCTCTTTAGTAATCTAAATGGCAATGTGAAATAAGAATCCAACGTCTGCCCTATTTGCTGTTACTCTGGTCATTGAATACTATAGTTTGTCTCCCCAAACATTTAATTTTGGTTGTGGGTGGTCTGTGTTCATGTGTCAGGTATAATTATTATTTTAAAATAAAAGAAAAAGAGAGACACCTAGTTTTTCTAGGGATGCATTACATTAGAGCTCTCAGACCCAGTTACCAATTAAATGTTAACGTACAGAATCCAACCACAGAAAAGCATACATTTTAAAATCCCATTTGTCACAAAACAAGCTGAATGAAAAATACCATGAAATGCAGCTATACCCATAAACATAAGCACTGTGACTCTGTGCACTTCTCTTGAACTAACGCTTTACAAAGAAATCACAAAGTATGACTTTTGTGGAATTAGAACATTCTCAACAAAGTGGATTTTTAAATAACTGATTAGCTTTTAACTCAATATTTTAAGTAACTGATTTGCACTGGCAAAAGGTCCACAAATCACCAGCCGTTGTAAGGTTAAATTATTAGTAAAAAGAATGCTTGCTTAGTCTTTTGTTTGTACCAAAATACTGTATCCAGACAATAAAAAATGAACAGATCTTCCCAAAACAAGAAATAAGAAGATAAAACTGCAGCATCAATATAGACTTAGAATTATCCTTTAAAATATTTAGAACAAATAATGTTTTTTTACATTTTTAAATCATTACAGACACTGCAAATAAGGCTTATGTGTTTATTTAGTGAAATACAAAGTGACAGTGAGTCGTACACTTACGTACTGCTTTCTATACCTGCTCTAAGAAAATGAATTTTGATGTGGTTATATTATGGAATCTTCTAGAACACTTTAAATGTACAGAAAACAAGCTTTATTTGGTTTTGTAAAGACTAGATCATACAGCTTGAACAGGTTTTAGTATATGGTTACACATATACCAGGATATATTTGCTCAGTTTTAGCCCCTGGGAGAGTTGTACGTCATACCAAATTCCTGTTTGGTTCCTTTTGGGGAGAAGCATTCTGTGGGATTTACAAAGGGTTCATGCACATGAAGATAACCTTTCCGTCATTTGTGACTGTGACCTATAGTGAACCATCATCAGAAAAAAAAAAAAAGAATGAAAACAAAAAGCAAACAAACAAAAAAAAACAAGGTTAGGCTAAACTCTAATAATTCATTTCCTTTGCTTTAGTATATTTATGGAGATAAAATAAGGCAATGAAAGAGAATTTGCTTGGCCTTGTATGTTTTTAAGTGAGGAAGCCTCAGAACTGACACGTGTTGGCAAATGATGACAGGTATCTATTCCTCAAGCTACAGCAGAACTCTGCTATAGTCATCACTGATGGTTCTTACTGCAGAAGTGTAAATGAAGTCAACTGATAGCACATAGGGCCCTTGTGCTGCTCCCTTGATCTCATCTCCTATTTCTGAAGTGTTTACCAAGTTTTTAAAACACTTTATCATGATCATGCGTAGGGTGCCAAAATAAAAAAAAAAATGAGAAGGCACATCAGAGGGCAGCGCTGAGGATACTCTTTAAAACCCCAAAAGATATTTAACATCCTATTAAATAAATAACTTAGAAAGAAATAGTAAAGGATGAAGGCAGAATGCACAAGCATACCATACTATTTGTATTGTTAGAACAGTTTCACACTAATATGCTTATATTTGTAAATCTGATCCAATTCTTCCATGGTGCCACACCCAAAGCTCCTTTGGTTGTGCATATGATATGACCCAAGTGCTTTCCAGTAAATGCTTGCGTGTCTTTCTGCTCATTGAATCATCAGGCTTGAATGAGCAATGAAAGTCTTTGATATGTGTTCATATTCCATAAATAACTTTCCCAAAGATCATTCAACAGATTGTTCCATGTCCTTTAAGTTCTATCTCCGAAGTCCAAAAGCAAAAACTTAAACAAACAAACAAACAAACAAAACCCAGCCCACAGTGTTGTTCACTTGGGGATAACTTCCATTCCATTTGATTTGCCTCTACCATGGGTATAAGGCACGACACAGAGCTAATGGAAAGAACTTCATATGTCAGCAGTGAGTACCAAAGACTCCAAAGCTTTCCTTCCTTTAAGCAGGTTGAACTCTGTGATATGCCTTTGCCTTTTACTCTACAGTCTTCTGTGAGGATACCAACTCTAACTCTTCCTGGTCAAAGAGTCTTTGGTTGTACTGCATCCACCAATGGTGCCTTCTTCTATGAGTGGACCACCATTGGGAGGAAATGAGCAGAGGTGTTTTTCCTTCGTGTTTTTTGTCCTCTCCTGGGAGCTCCTTTTCCATTCAATGCTACATACATCTGCCTGCCATTGTGCTGCCAGTTAAAGGATGCATAGGTGTTGTATCCATTTTCCTCTATCCTCTCTTTCAGCTTACAGTCGTTGTTAAATTCTTTCTGCAAAGAAAAAACAGTTATTTATTGGTATGGTGTTGATACTTGACTCCATAGGATATAAACCATGTAATGAGTTACAGAGAATAGTCCTGTTTATAGCTGCCATTTTTACATAATGCTCAATTCTTATAAAATATCAACAACAGAAGAGTCAAAATTTCTAACAACAAAACAGATTCTGTGTTTGAAAACACATGACTCATCTTTGATTAATAACCACAGAACCACAGCCACATTTTCTGGCCCTTTAATAAAATGATGTGCTTTGACTATAGCATGGTTTAAGTGCCCAGAATGGTTATCAGAAAGTAGATACCACATCAACAATATTTATGAGGACAGTATTATAGTATTGTCTTTGCTAGTGTTCAATGTAGGACCTATGGGAAAAACAGAATCTCCAGAGATTTGGGTTTATCACATTTACAAACATTATCTATAAAGGTCAACCCAAAGAATGTTTTGAAGCTAAGATATAGAAAATGCTTTCTTTGGGGATTGGGAATGTGGCTCGCTTGGCAGAGTTCTTACACAGAATGCATGAGACTCTGGGTTCTATTGCTAGTACTCCATATACTAGACATGGTGGCCTATAACTATAATCCGAACACTAAGCATATAGAGCCAAGTGGATCAGAAGTAAAGCTACACAATGAGTTTCAGGCCAGCCTTAGCTATGCGAGATGCCTTGTTTTGCCATGTCAACGTAATTATGAACATAGTAATTGAAAATGCATTCAGATGCTCTCACTGGGATATGCATCTATGCCTACATTATTTTTACATTGTACCAAGGAAGTGTCCACGTGGTTTTAGGGAGTTTTAATGGGTCAAGAATTTTTTCTCATCTGCTTCCCAAATACAGTGTCTTATTCTGAAATTATTAACAGACATGAAAATCTAAAGAAATATCCCTGTGCTCTTGATACAAAATAGAGTAATAAAGAAACTAAGAACAAATAGTTTTCGGGTTCTAATCCCTTCATGTACCATAAAGGTCTTGTGGGTACATTTTGATGGAGGCTTCAATTGCATAATTTATTTCACCTCAGGAATTTTTGTGTTTTCTAATTTTTTTTTTGTTGGATTTTTCGAGACAGGGTTTCTCCGTAGTTTTTTGGTTCCTGTCCTGGAACTAGCTCTTGTAGACCAGGCTGGCCTCGAACTCACAGAGATCCGCCTATCTGTGCCTCCGTTTTCTAATTTTTGAAGAATTTATTAACTTTAAAATGTATGTATAGATATGTTAACCTGTATTAGTTTGAGTATACTATATTCCAGTCGGAGCCCACTTGGGTCAAATGAGGGCATCTGGTCTCCTGAAACTTGGGTTTGTGAACCTCCATGTGGGTGCTGGTAACTGAACCCTGGTCCTCTGCAAAAGTAGGAAGCAGTCTTATCACTGAGCCATTGATCCAGGCCCCAAGTTAAATTCTGGTTTATAAATTTTCATGTTTTAGTGGGGTAGGTAATAATTTAGAACATAATAATGAAACATTGCATATTTACATTGATATTATTCGTTTATTTTTCTGTTTCCTGGAATTAAGTAGTAGCACGTATTTCTCATCTGTAAAGTACTATTAAATGTAAAATTCACATGGTTATAGGATTGAAATGAAAAAAATAAATTATCAAAGATAATTCTTGCAACTAATGAAAAAGCATTCACTAGAAAATTAAATATTTTATGAACTTATTTAATTTTTATACTTATTCATCAGTCTAAAAATATGGATTTCAAGCAAATGGATCCTTTTGCACTTATTAAAAGGGTATGCAATTTAAAGAGTCAGGGACAAGGCCAATAACACAGTTCATTGCTGAAGACTCTTGCCTTGAAGACTAAGTGACCTGAGTTCCATCCCCAGGAACCATAAGGTGGAAAGAGAGAACCAACTTTCCAGTTGTCCTTTGACCTCTACACTTGTATTGGGGTATGTACCCGCCCTCTCATGTACACAGACAGACACACAGAGACTAAACAAATGTAACAACTCTGTTCAAAGGAAGACTGGGACTGTTTCAGGTAATTTCATTTGGAGATGCTTATTTTTTTTCTTGCCATAATGAATTTTAAGAAAACGTTTTTTTTTTTTTAAAGAAGTGTGCCTTAATATTTTTTTTTTAAATGAGTGTGTCTGAGTCAGCTTTTTCATCCCAGATATTTTGACCCTTGGGATGTAACTAAGCTGTGCCATAGCTATAATCTCTGAAGGATGGCCTAGACATTCATGAGATACAGGCAGAGCATGGCTACTAATGTTTAAGAAAAAGTTTGGACTAATGTGAACATTTCTCCCTGCTGGCTAGCCTTCACACTGAAAGGTATTACGCAGGCTGATGAGGAAAACCTATTAGTAGTCTCCTAGGTCTGTGAACCTTGGGAATTGCAGTAATGACTGGTGTGACAAGAAATGCCCTTTCGTGCAATCGTGGTACAAATATTATGGGAATAACCATCACTTTCTGATTAGATATAAAGCCCATCTCACAGTAGAAAACGCATGCCCTCTTGGGCATGGTTGGGGAGTTTACAGGCCCCAGGAGTGAACCTACTACTACCATTTTGCTAAATAGAGAGTATCAGACTGCCCCCCTAAATCTCTGTCTCTTGACTGGTAGATTAGCACACCTTTTAGAATTCTGGGATTCCTGAAGGCAGGATTGCCATTTCGGATTGAGGTCAAGGTAAGAGTCAGTAGTTGTCTGCTTTGCTTTTTCAGATCTTCAGGTTGAACCCAATTTCTGTTTCTGAGTTTTTAGTAATTGTGCACAGGAAAAGATAAAGAGGTAAACGTATATCTTGATGGAGATAGGGGAAGGATCGGATGATGAATATGCTAAAAATACATTGTATGAAATTCTTAAAGATTTAATAAATATATTTTAAAAGAAGTAGCCTGTGTGTTTTTCTGTCTACTTTTTGCATGCCTGGCAACTGAGGCAGAATATTATATTCCCTGAAACTGGAGTTACCTAAGGTTGTGAGGACCCATCACTTGGGTCCTCTTCAAGAGCGGCAACTTCTCTTAAATGCTGACCTATCATCTCTCCTTGCCTATGACATAATGTTTTTAAAAGAAAACTTATAAGCGATTAATTTTGTTTGGTGGTGGTGGTGGTGGTGATGGTGATTTTTTTTTATTTCTCTGTTTCCTTTTCTTTCTTTTTTAAATGTCTGTATGTGTGTATATATGTACATATTGGGTCACACATGTGGAAGCCAGAAAATGACTTGTGGGAGTCAACTCTCTCCAATCAGTTGAGTTCTGGAGATTGAGCCCAGGTTGTCAGATTTGCTGGACTATCTGGCAGGTCCTCAAACATGTTTAATGGGGAAAAAAAAAACCAAAAACAGAATTTTTGCAAAAGTGGTACAAATTTACAGCCCTAAATGGAGCTATTTTTAAAAATGTTCTGTTGCTTTTTAGGCTCCTTTTAGAATAATATGCAAAGAAGAAATTGAATTAAAATTCCTGTAGACCTCATACTTCACGTATTCATTCTGGTATGACTGGCTTGTCACTTAACAGTAGACCTGATATGAATAAAAGACCAAACTAGGCCATTTCTAGACTTCTGCTTCTCAATTCTCAGAATTGAACCAGAAGCATGGGCAGCGCTTGGCTCCACGTTGAATGTATAAATTCCTGGACCTTATCTTAGACTCTGAATCAGAGAGTCTAGGCCTGCCTTGGCCGCATTATTATGTCTTTTAACAATGCCTCACATTGATTTTGAGGCTGACTTAGGTATAAGAACCACCACCAACACTTATGTTAATCAAAAAAGTGAATTTATTTATATATTTAAAGTTAAATTCTTTTCGATGCTGTGAAAAAATGTAAAAGTGCACACTATCTGGCTAGAAATACATGAGATTATTTAAAAATAACTGTGTCAATTGTTTTATCTTGGCCCATTTATATTATATATATATCCTCAAAAAATGTAATTAAAATTTTATATAGCTATATTCCATATTTTCTTCTAGAGTGGAATTCAGAAAAATTTAAAATCATTTAGTATTTCTTTGGTAGAGTTTTAGGATTAAAACTACCAAACATAATCCATTATCATCAACTGTTCTTCTGGTGCTGTCCTTCAGATGGCAATTAAGTCTTCACATAATATCTATAATATTCATGCATAATTAGAATTAATGACTATTACCTAGGTAAGTGCAATTCTAGGGTTCATTGAATAACTTGGAAAAAATCATGAGTCTCTTGATATGTTTCTCCATTTATGATTTTAACAAAACCACGGAACATCTGTGCCCTAGTCTTTTCTTCAGCTGTGGTAGACACTCATAGTATATGAGGTTCCATTCCACCCAAGGTTTTTGATTTAAGCAATTCTTCTCCAAGTTGTCTCCAGTCCCCATGCTACTTCGTTCACTTGAGTGAAAGTCTGATTGACTTGCAGTTCTACACATTCACAAATGCCAGTAATAGACTCATGGGCCAAGAACTATGGGATTATTGAGGTGAACAAGATGCTTTGCTGGCCCGTGAGATGCTGGTGACCCAGCCCCTCTCACTGTGAATCTGGTTAGTAATGATGGAATGACCACAAGGACATTCATTGTCTCCTCCTGGAAACCATTCAAGTCTCTGGTGCTAACTTAGTGAAATGTGTTTTGAAAACGAAAGCCAGCTACTTACTGAGCCATAGAGTTTCCCCTTCTTGTTCATGGCTAAGTAATAGTTGCTGTTAATGGCTTTGACGGCAACAACTCCGATTTCCACTGATGTTATCTCTAGGATACCTAAAACACATAATTACAGAGGCAAGCTGTAAAGAGTCATCTGTGCTTAGGTGGGAGAAGGTAAAACAACCAAAAACAAATGAAAAGGTACATTTTGTATTATCGCAAAGCAAAAGGTAAATAGTGGGGTAGCCAAACTGAGCCAAAACTGTGTTGGTGTGGACAATTGTCTGTATTTTGTCAATTATGTTTTAAATAAATGCTGATTGGCCAGTAACCAGGCAGGAAGTATAGGCAGGACAACCAGACAGGAAGTAGAGGTGGGTCAATGAGAACAGGAGAATTCTGGGAAGAAGACACAGTACTAGCCCAGGCACAGAAGAAGCAAGATGTGACAGCCTCGATGAAAAAGGTACTGAGCCATGTGGCTAACATATACTAGAATAATATACTAGAATAATAGGCTAATATAAGTTATAAGAGTTAATAAGATGCCTAAGCTAATGTGCCAATCAGTTTACAAGTAATGTAGACCTCTGTGTGATTTCTTTGGGACTTAATGACTGCAGGAACAGGGCAGGACAGAAAACTCAGACAACACTGTGTGAATAGGGTGAAAACCCCAGTGAATACAGGAAGCCAGTAGTAAGACTTTGGGAGTTTCCTTTTCGTTTTCACTCTGAGCATATACAGGCAAATGTTGTTTTAATTAAAATGCTTCCTTTGCAACCTCTGCATTTTCAACCCCATAAATATTGAAACTCCTCTACTCATCTTAGCCTAGGTTTCACAAAAACTTATCAGAGCCCACATCTGTACTGTGGTATTAAATTAAATCCACAGCATATGTCAGTGATATGTCAGACTTACCTCAATCTGTAAAAACAATGGCAAACTATTTTTTTTTTGTAGCACATTTAGATAAACTAAATCCCTTGGCTGCGTTTAACTGATAAATTCATTTTTGACCAATGTGTTGACGTGCTGAGGCACAGGGAAACTTGCCTCAGCATCTGTACAACCTTACCATAGCAGATACAATGCTCCATATTAAGGGCTTTTTCTCTGTTTTGAGAAAGAAAGGAAAGCAGAGGGAAGCAGTGATTAACAAACAAGACCATTTCCTCCAGGAACAGGTGTTTGGTTTGGTTTATGTAAAGATGATATCCTCAGAAAAGTTTGTAAGCAGGTGTGGAAAAGGCATTTGATATAGAATGCAAAAAGCCCAGCCATTTCCACCAAAGATTACCTCAAACTCAAACTCATTTGATTATTTTTAACAGAGCTTTTTCAGGCTGGATGAACAGCACAGTGAGGAGAATGTGGTATCGGGAGTTAGGATCTACGTACTTGACTCCCAGCTCAGAATCTGTAGGAAAATGACCCCAGAAGATATTAAACCATTCTATGTCTCCCTGTCATTTGAAAATTGGGCAAGATAACAATATTTCTCTCAGAATCTTGCTGTGAAGGCAAACAAGATTATATGCACAAAGTTATTAGTATCTGCCTAAAGGTCAAAACTCAAGTTATTATGAGAGGCATTTTTCCCCTGAATTTTTAAACTTCTTCAAGAGACTACGGAACTTTTCCATAGATCAGACAAACTCCCCATTGTCTTAGCCAGTTGATGTGGAAGGAAATCATAATTACCATGCCTTGTGTATCACCTAAGATGACAAACACCATCTTCAATAAGTATATAAAGTGTGTTCTCAGATTTTGTCCCCTCTAAGGGACATGAATGGTTTCTCTCCTATTCTTTCCCAGCTTAGTCTGCCCAGAAGCTGGTCGTAATGCCAGACTTTTCTGACAGTGAAGCTGACATAAAAAGAGACTTCCACTGGATAACATGAAGCAAAACCTCTGTCGATGTGTCAAGGACGTGCTTGATTTCACACAGCATAATCTTCACTAACATAGCATCTCACTGTGCTTGCAAACCCAAACCAAGGACATCTATGAGGTCTGTTTGGGGCAAGGTTTATGTCATCAGTATGTCTTACTCTATGCTGGTTACTGCCCTTGGGGCATGCACCCACATATTCATTTGCTTATTTAAAAAAAGTATTCTCTTGCAGTTTGTTTCTTTAAGTTTTGTAACTGTTCCCCAAGGAGGTATTGTCATTCTTATTGTCAACTGTAGATTAGACTACGGAAGATAAAGTTACATAGCTCTCACACAGGTGATTTTTAGGTCCATCACGATGGTTATATACATCCAGTCCCATGGCTTTCACACTTCCTTTCCCCCACCTCTGAATATCTTCATTTCTCCATCTTTCCCTTTCCTAGAAGGGGATTCTGTAGGAACCATTTAGCAATATGATTCTTTAGAAACTCTTAGTAAATGACAACATGCTATTGTCACAACGATGTAGGTGTTCCACAATGGGAAAACTTCTGAGTTTTAGAGGGTGAAAAAAGTTAATAAACTTTGTGACAAGGAAAAAGATACCGACTAGACAGGAAGTGATATTCTGGTGGTATTTAAGCTGCTGTGCCTGCAGAAAGGGAGAATTTGTGGCATACAACAGGTTTACTAAGACACATTTAAATTCCTTGAGTTTTACCACAAATGAGAACTCAGTATTTAAAGGATTGATCAAGCATCTTTTTTTTTTTACTTTACAGCTAGTTTGAGTAAGAATGCATAATATTTACTTTTAAGTATTTTTCAATTGAGGCATTAAAATGCACATGTCTTAAGGGTCATCACAAGATGCTCTACCATGAATGTGTATTGCTCAGGGTTTGTATCAGAATAAGTCTATCCATCTCTACAAAAAAGGTCTACTATACTTTTAAAAATAGAAAAAGGAAAAAGAAACTTAGGTGATTTAATACCCCTTTGAGTTCTAAAAACAAGCTTTGGTTGTACCACAGTTACTAAATCATAATTTGGAAGCTTTGTAGGTCATAGGCAAGTGCTGGACTTATTTATTGCAAACATCATTGAATGTGGATACTTCTTTGTGAGGAACCAAGCCTGCAGGGCATCCCTGCTTCTTCACATGTAATTTCTGCCGTGTTTAGTATTTGGTGAAAATTATCAGGTTTTCTTATTCAAATTATTTTTGAAAAGAGACTCCATATATTTTTGTGGTTCATTAGATCAATAGTTATATGTGTCCACTTTGACATGAAATGCAATACCAGTTGGAAGACATAATGCTAAAGAATGAGTAAAGAGTATATGGCATCTCTCTGCATTTCTTCCATCTTATATAATGCTACAATTATCTCAAAAATTAAATGTTGCTAAAAAGCTTTTGAGAGCTAAAGTGATGATTCAGTGGTAAAGACATCTACTGTCAAGTCTGGGGACAATTGTAATATAATTTCAATCAATATGTTGAAATATAACATGGTCAGGATATTGGTATTAGAAATTAAACTTTTTAAGTTAAATCTCTCCCTTTCCCACATGAGTTGTAGATTCCTTAGCTGATCTATTGTATGCTAACATGGGAAAACATCTTGGGTAGCCATCACTTTTAAACTATATATATCAGGGCTTAGGTAACCCCACTCAGTATTGTGAGGCACTCTGCGTGGCTATGCACTTCATTTCCTAAGAATTACTAATTTGGGTCTCATATCTTTTATAATTCATCTTCTTTAAGGAATCATAATAACCACAGTTGTGCTTATTATATACACTTGATACATAGTCATTGAACGGCAAAAAAAAAAAGAATCAATGACTGTGCAAAGCAAAATTGGGCATTTCTGAAATCTCAAATTTTTGTTTGTTTTTGATCACAGTTATACTTGTGAAATCATGCATTAATATTTTCATTAAAATGAATATGAAAGTAAGGAAAACAAAATGAAGAAATGTTAATGAATTATAAGATGAATTTGATATCAGTTATAGGTAAATTATTATAAATGTGAAAGTTTTTGTTGCTTTTAAGTAATCTTCAACTATTGGTTTATATATAAGTAGAGAAGTTTTGAAGTGATATTGAAAGGTTATTTTTAATGTAGGAGCCATGATTTAAGCAATATTGATTTTGAGACAACAGAAGATAACAGAATAACATATCTAACTGTATTTATTCACTGAACCATCTCTCCAGCTCCTTTAAATTTAATAAAAACAATAATGTAGCAAGATAAGGCTGTAATAAAGGATCCTCTTGTGTCATCTACTTTTACATATGATGGAAATTTCCAATTAATCTAACAAGATATATCAGAGTTAAACATGTCTTTTACATACAAAAATAGTCTTGGAGAAATTACTAATTATAAGTTAGTGGACATTTATTATTTTGAGTATCACTGATTTGATGCTTGGATTTAAAGTTTCTCTGTTCTTTCTATATTGTTGGGCTTTACTAATAAGACTGTTATTTAGTAATATACCAAAGCCTTAGATAGAATCACAAGAGTGAGGTATATATGTATGTTGACATTCATGGCTACATAAACAGAGAGACCTGAACTAACTTGTTCTTCCTCATCATGTGATGCTGTCTGCCATATTGTTGCCACAAGAAAGGTTTACCAGATGTCCAGAACTTGATGATGAACTTTTGCTCATCTGGAACAGTGAGTTCAACAAACCTGTATTCTTTACATGGTACACAGTTGCATTTGTCTTAGATTTGAGCTCAGTTTGCTTCTTTCCTTACTGTGACAGTTAGAACATCTGAAGTCCGTATCCAGTGTTGCTTTCTTTCTACTTGTTTTTTATTTTCCCTTTGATAATCACATAATATTAAAAGGCCTCAGAGACTATAGAGTAAAAAAAATTACCAAAAACATGGATGTTACTTGTCAACAAAATATTCCATAAATATTTGATACAAAAAAAGATGAAAAATTACTAAAGGAGATCTACTTAAGGAGGGAGCAAGGTATGTTAGTGTCTATGAGTGTACAGCCAGTTTAAACCTGTCTGGGTTGTATTGAAAATAAAATACCATTTGTCTTGGAGTCATATCTGTAATACTAGGGTGTGGACACTCTAAAATGTGTCTCCCAACAATAACAATGAGAACACATTTTTGACCTGTCTGAAATAGTGCATGTGGTTAATTTGACAATTT